ACAAATATTTTTGGATTTCAAAATTGTTTTATTCAACTACTAAGCTAATAAGTTAAAGATGTAATAAATACTCTCCTTGCTCTGCTGTGATAGTGAAATTATTGTTGAAGTCCAGGAAAAGTACAAAGGGAGGCATGATTAAATTTACTGTAGAGAAGGAGTATTTTAAGAAAGATTACTGTAGAAAGACAACACCTCAAGCATTTGGCACTCTTGCTTCAGAGTTGGTAGTGACAGAAGATGGGGATGACATCTGGAAGTGGAGCTATGTTTATATATTTAAGCATTACTTGCTTGATCTTTCTTGGATTTTTGTGCTTTCATCTCTTGGGTTCAGAGTCTTTGAATATTTGAAGATATATATTTACTGACTCTCAGGTTTTTTTCCTAAAGATTTCTGAAATTACTCCCACACTATCTCAGTTAATAACTATATTACCATACTATATCAATTAATGACCATATTAGTCTGTGAATAATTTCTAGGCCTCCCTGTTTTCACTTAGCATTTCCAGCCTCATAGTATCTTCTAGGCAACATGATTTTCATCAAAGACTTCCCTTCACTTTGCATGGGCGTTCTTCCTTCCCTTGATGTCGTGGAGTGCATGCTCTGGAAACTTGTTGAAAATAGTCACAGGAGGTGAAGGTTCTGATGTCTTGCCTATCTGAAACAAAAGCTATGTGTTTAACCCCATGGAAGCGTGGAGGACTTTAGATGTGTCTTCAGAGAAGTGCCCTTTTAGAACTTTGGAGTTACTGTTTGGCTTGTCTCCTAGCTTCCAGCTTTGTTGAAAAGACTAATGCCATTCAAATTCTGAAAAGTAGTCAAACCTATCTCTTTCCAAAAAAGAAAAAGGCCTGGGTTTTAAATACTTTACTTTGACTGTCTTTTTCTTCTTGAACATTTTAATTTTTTTAAAGCCTCTTTTTAATTTCACAGTAATACTCTTTTATTTCTCTTTTCATTTGTTTCTGCATTCCTTCATTCTGAATACTAACTACTGTTTGGGAATATATGTTGTATTTCCTCTTTCCTCAGTTCTGCAGTTCTGTTCAATTGGATAATCAAGCACCTGAGCTGATTTTATTATCTATCTTCCTTGAGATTTGGTCCTACTTCCTTGTAGCCTGAAAAGGCTGTGTAGAGTTGTGGAAAAAGACTCTGGAGCCAGAAGGGCTGTTGCAGTCCTCTTGTGACCAATTCCTAGCTGCAGCAGTGTTCTTAGCCCATCTGCTTTTATCTTTAAGATATATTCAAAGTAGCTCATTTTCTCCTACATAGTAAATGTTAATTATTATTAGTATTACCTTAAATAAGAGTCCATCTTTCTATGTGAAATTTTAGTTTCTGTAATTTGTGTGTGTGTGTGTGTGTGTGTGTGTGTGTGTGTGTGTGTGTGTGTGTGTGTGTGTGTGAGTGTGTGTGAGTGATATGTATTCGAGTCACATTATGCCATGGTATGTGTAGAGGTCTGAGGACAGCTTCATGGAGTCTGTCCTCAGACCTTTTGGCCTTAACCTGCTGAGTCATCTGGCCAATCCTAATGCCTTTCTTCATTTCCTTGTCACAGGTTTCTAGCCTCCCATTCTTGTTTCATGGATGCAGTGTCGTCTTGAATTGTAACTGGATAATTGAGAACAGTTGGGGGGAAAGGCTTACACATACAAGGTGGAAATCAAAGCAAGTAACTAGTAACAGCCCACATGAATCAAAATCTTGAACTATTTATGGCAGGGGTCAGGATTTGAACTGTTCAACTTTCCTCCTGTTTTCTGGATTGACATTTGTATTATTTTGAAGTCTCTTGTATGTTAAAGGCTTTTTCTAAATTCCTACATGACTGTAGTATACATAAGTATATCTTGTCCTCACACCAAGTTCTTGTATATCACACCAAGGAGTGCTTGGTGCTGTTTAGAAATGTTGCCCATTTTAAAAACTGCAGTATTTTACTTTATTGATTTGGGGAGGGTTCCACAGAAAATACAAATATTGTTTGTCTGCCATCTTCTGGATTTGCTTCTGGTGTATTTCTCTATGATACATTGATGAGGTTTTTTTTTCTTTTAATTGTATTATGCCTAATAGGTCTCTTTAAACCCCTGATGTTTGGTTTTTCTTAGTAGGTATATATAGGTAGAGACTGTGAAGAGGGTTCTGGTTCTTTTTCAGTGTGAGATTTTTCTTTATTCCTGTTCTCTTCTTTTTTCATTGTCCTAGTTTGTTTTCTGTTGCTGTGACGAACATGGTGACAAAAAGCAACTTGAGGAGGAAAGGTTTATTTCAGCTCACATGTTGTAGTCCATCATTGAAGGAAGCCAAGGCAGAAATTCAAAGGCAGGAGCTGGAAGTAGAAACCTCAAAGGAATGCTGCTTTGGGTTTGCTTAGCTACCTTTCTTATGCCTGCCCAGTGATGACATCACCCCACAGTGGGCTGGACCTTTCTGCATCAATTAGCAATTAAGAAAAGGTGTCACAGACATGGAACAAGCCAGTCTGATCTGGGCAATTCTTCAGTTGAGGCGTCCTCTTAACAGGTGATTCTAGGTTCACAGATGAGGCTAATTATGACTCCCACTGCCTGGTAGAAATTTTGAGTGTCATGTCCCTGTCCCGTTCTGGTATCAGTTGCTAAGCACTTTAAAAATGTAGAACAGAGAATATCCTGGGCTCACTGGCCACCCTCCCTACCCAGATGTGAAGTACTGTTTCTCCAAGGAGCTTTTTCGATGTAGAAGTGACTTAAGTGACTCATAGACTTCAGGTTTTCAAATGGCTGTTTGGTGTTGTATGCCATAAATTGGAACCTGAAGGTTTGTATTTAGTCCTTGCAGCAGTAAATTTTAGCCTCATGAATTACTATTAGGAAAGTCATCGAGGGTCCTTGTCATCCATCCATCTTGGCCTTTGAGAATTATGAAGTGAGGTCGCTACCTTAACAGCACTTAAAACATTATTTTAGCAGCCCTTTCAACTCCTTTGTGTATTTTCTTACTCTGTTGCTGCTGACTCGTATCAAGTTCTTCATTTTTCCTTTTTGAAGTTTTATTTACTCAGTGAGTTTTGAGAAATGGAAAGAAACAAGTACAAAGTGTTCTTAACTGTTGAGCCATCTCTTCAGCCCCAATAAATATTTTTTTTTATTGTTCAGACTGTTTCATGTAGGGAAACAGAATTCCTGAATGAATAGCACAGGAACTCTTTTCTCCTGGCTTTGTATTAGTTGTGTATGAGTTATGATGCTAGTCTAACTCTTCAGGCCTGTGACTTTGATCTCATAGTCGAGAGAGAGAATTCCTGTAAGAACCTGCACATCCTAGAAGTAGGTGTAGAATATCTCTCTCATCACTAGTTACTCATCTCTTAGAGGGCATCTGCTTCAGGGCCTCCTGGAGGCTTCCTTTCCTGTACTTGCCTTGGTTTCTGTTTTCTCAATTCATCTTGCATCTGGGCCCCCATGATCATTCCAGACTGTACCTTTGTAAGTGAGATAGGTAACATTCTCCCATTTAGTATGCTAGTTTGATTTTAGGAAAGCACTTCAGGCAAATATTAGTCCACATTGAATATTGCATGAAAGAATCTAGCATTTAAGGATCAGATTCGACTGTGAGTACTTCTTGGTTTGTTGCTGTTTTTAATTTGCCTTAGGTCTTAGTATGGTGGAAAGGCCACTTCTTAGTCAATTCCTCATTACTGTAATGAGTTACCCAAGCATGGCCGATTTCATAAGGCTGCTTTAGCTCACACTTCTGGAAACTCATGGACTTGGCACTGGCATTAGTTTGGCACTGATAAAGGCCTCATGGTGATTGGTACCACAGTGGCAGGATATGGAGGTGAGCCATTACTTTGCCAGACAAGAAGCCAGGGCGCCATTAAAGGCTCAGGCTGTGACTTGCATAACAACTTAGTGCTGGGAAATTTTCTCTAGAATTGATAAGAACCACTTTAATTTTTTGGAGCACATGTCCTCAGTGACCTAAGAAACACATAATGGAACCCAGTCTAAAGAATTGCATTTCAAACAATCTGGGGATGAAGCTTTGAGCATAGAAACTTTGAGATACAAGGGCAAACCATCTCCAAGTATAGCAACCAATAGTATAAACCTTAGGAGTCTTAGATAGAGCTGCTTTGCTGTTCTCAAAGCTTTTTTGTTCTTTATCAGTGTGTGTTTAAAATGTTGAATTGAGTGGAATAGTGCTAAGGGGTTGTCATAGTTACTTTTCTATTGATATGAAGACACACCATAATGAGTTTGTTGGGGCTTACAGTTTCAGAGGGTGAGTCCATTGACCATGGTGGGAAGCATGACAGCGGTAGGCAGGCATGGTACTAGAGCAATAGCCAAGACATTACATGCTGAGGCGACAACCTCAAGACATAGAGCTCACTAGGAATGGCATGGGCTTTTGAAACCTTAAAGCCCACCCCCAGTGACACACTTCTCCAACAAGGCCACACCCACTAATTCTTCCCAAACAGTTCCACCAACTGGTGACTAAGCATTCAAACATGAGCTTGTGGGAAGCATTCTCATTCAAACTACCACTGGGACGTGTAGCTATAGAGAATGTGACTGCTGGTGTATCCAATTGGGAAAGATAATATTTACAAAGATGACCAGTAATAGAAAGCTCTTTTAACATGAAATCATCTCTCTAGAGAAAGTGTGTTGTGTGTTTTAAAAAGTCAGAAATGAGGATAACCCAAGTTGAAAAGATAAGGGAATTTATGATGAAGTTCACTCTTTGCGTTTAACTTGATTATTAAGATAATGGGATGATCTTCATACACTAATGTGTATGAAGTCATACTGACTTTTAGTCAAAAACCTTTTTCCCCCAAATTGAGTTTATGTTAAGTCCTATAATGTATTATTTAAGTCTAATATTGAAGTTTAAAGTGCTTTTGTTTGGTCTTCCATGACTTTCAAAAACTTTAATTTGATATTCAGAATAGTTAAATAACCTGGGTTTCCTTTATGTTTTAGGATTTAAGTGCCCGGTATGCTCAAAATTTGTACCCTCAGATGAAATGGATTTGCATCTTGTGATGTGTTTAACAAAGCCAAGAATAACATATAATGGTAAGTTTGGTGCCTTAAAATCACATTGTAATTTAGTATTTACCATAAATAATGTGAATTTCATGTTTGAAGCAAAATTTAAGTGGCAGGAAAGGACTCAAATTCTCATCTTAAGATACCTTTATATGTGTTAAACATCTGTTAATTAGGATATATCTATTAATAAGTGTCACTTTCCAAGACATTTAATGGCAAGAGTGGCATTGTCTTATTTTTTATTTATATCTGGCTTAATGGCAAATAATTATGTCTTTTCTACAGTTAGTGTTTTTTTGGGGGGGGGTTGTTGTTTTGGTAATAAGACATATCAGATACCCTGGAAAATTCCACTGGAACACAGGAGAGAGTGGGAATGAAAAAGACAAATGATGTTAGCATAAAAATAGTATTGGCTTTGTTCAATGAAAAGGATGGCCAAGACTCCCTACTCCAGAAGATTTTTGAATTACACTTGAGAACTCCTGTGCCTGAATAAAATCTTTTTTAGGTTAGGCCTAAAGAAAAAGTAATTTGTTCAGAAAAAAAAAAAAGTGTGCTTAAGAATATATAAGAAGGGAAGGACCAGAGAGATTTTTCAGTGGTTAAGAACACTTACTCTTGCAGAGGACCTGGGTTCAATTCCCAACATCCACAAGGTAGCTTATTACTCTGTAACTCCAGTTTCAGGGGCCCTAGCACCCTCTTCTGGCCTCTGTGGGCACTGCACACATGTGGTGCACAGATAACACACTGGCAAAGCACCTATACACATAAAATAAATAGCACTTACACAAATCTATAATAAATAATGCATTGTTAACAGTGAGGATGAAGTTTATTCATAAATATAGTAGATAGAAACTAATGGGAGAGAATAAATGTAGGAAGTAGAGACTGAAACTATTCTGTCACCATTATCTGTCTCTGAACCCACAGATAAATTTCATTCTTGTGCTAACTGGCCATTGCTTTTGGTCTGGTATGTTGGACCAGGGTATTCTCTCCTGACCCTAGTAATACAGTCTTTGGTGTTATCAAAGAACAAGTAGAATCATTTTGGGAGATAAAAATTAAATAATTCCTTCTGGCTGATAGAAACTTCATGATTTTGTGGTGTCTGCCTAAAAATAACTTTAGCATAGCCAAGACTGAAGCCAACCTGGGCTGTTTATGTAGTGAGACCCCATCTCTGAATGCAAACAAATAAATAAATAGAGGAACTCAGCACATACCTAAATGTCAAAGAAAGGAGAAAAGACATCTAAGGCTTAGATATAAAGTGAATAGTAAGAATACTAGTAATTGGCAAACTCTGTTGAAAGACTAAGTTTAACAACCAGATTTTGGGCACTTACAGATAAGATACTGTGCTAAGTGCAGTGATCCAGTAAATAAAGCAGATAGTGCTTATGGTGTCTCAGGAGTCAATGAGATGAATATATGCTTGGGATAACTACCATGTGGTTTAGGACTGTAGTGTCTCTCTATAAACTTCATGAAGTTTAGAGACGGTGAGTCAGAGATTCTGAGACTGAATCTTTTTGGTCCCGTGACTCTCTAGTTTTGGTTTTGAATTCCTAAGTGTTGACACCAACTCAGCTAGATTAGGCCTCTAAATCCTGTTAATGCATAAACAAGAACTCTCATTCAGTATGATATACTTAGTAAGTTGTACAGACTTCCAGAGGTAGCTAGACCTGAAAAAATTTAAATTTGTGAAGTATATATTAACTATCTACAAAAATTCACAATTTGAATAGTCAGGCTTATTTTCAGACAGCTGTATTTATAGAGGAACTCTGAGAGAGGGTGAGTTCCAGGCATTTGATTGTAAACTGATGACTCAGCTTGAGATTCATCCCACAGAGACACTGTACATGCTTCTGTCAAGGAACCTGTCTGCCTGCATTTGTTTGGGTGCAGAGAACCTGTGTCCTTAGTGTCTGGATTTATTCCTGTGTTGGGGTTAAGAATGGCAGTTCTCCTTGCTAACTGTTGTTCTGACAAAAATATCCAAGCAGCCAGATTTAAAGGAGGTTGATTTGACCCCTGCTTTAGGTTATGATTCTTTGGTCTCATTGCTTTGGCCCTGGGGAGATGATAGCAGTGTGTAACAGAGGAAGTGTATTCCTATGTCTCGGTAGCCAGAAAGCAGAGAGTGCACGAGAGGATGTAGCAGTGGTTCTGTTAGGCTCTTCAAGAATGTACCTATGATGACTCACTACTCATACCCACAACCATAGCACCACAGCTTGGGGACCAAGCACTGGCATACCGCTGATGGACATTTCAGAACCAGGTCTAGTGCTGTCTTTAGTGGATCTGGATATTGTGGGCATGTAAGTGTCATCTGAAAGTGAATTGTTACCAAGCACTCTGTGTGCTTATCCTTGTCTTTCTGAATCACCCATAAGTTTATTGTAGGATAACCGTGACACTTTGGGGCATGCTGCTTTTTCTAACTTGGCAATTGTCAGTTGAATGGATGCTTGCTTTGAACTTGAGTAATGTGTGTGTTATTTTCTTCTTTTAAAGCAAAAAGCAGTTTAATTTATTAAACTTATTTAACTTTATTTTTGAAACAATTTGTAGCGTAGGCTGGCTTCAGACTTACGAATTTCTTGCCTTGGCCTCTGCAAGTGCTGCAATTTTTGTTGTTAAGATTGTGTTGGTAGATTTTTCTAATGGTCTAATTTTTTTTTGTCTTTTTTTATTTTTAAATTTAAATTAGAAACAAGGTTGCTTCACATGTCAATCCCAGCTCCCTCTCCCTCTCCCTCCCCTCCTCCCACCCCTCTCCCCTAATCTCCCCCCCCATCCCCACTCCTTTCCCCAGGGAGGGTGGGGCCCTCCAAGGGGGGTATCCATAATCTGTCATTTCATCCAGGGCAGGGCCTAGGCCCTCCCTCATGTATCCAGGCTGAGAGAGCATCTCTCATTGTGGGATGGGCACCCAACTAATGGTCTAATTGCGTTGTGTTGATTTCTGATATTGCTGGATTATTGCATCTTTGAACATGGAATATTTAAAAACACTGCTATTTAGATTACACACAGGCAAAGATTATGAACTGGAAACTTCTTCCTTTGCTCTGAAGTCTATATAATTCAAGAAGTTTTGCTGTCTCATCAGCTACAACACCATGGTAGAAACCACCCATTCTTGAGGACTACCTACAGGTTCATCAATCCAGTCATATTTACCACTTCCTCAATGCATTCTGGTAATTTTGTTCGAAAATAACCCTTTTCTATACCTAAGTGTGGTGGAGCAGTTAGGTAATGACAACACCCTGGAGGTAGGGGCAGGAGAAGCAGGACTGCAGACCAGCCTGGGCTAAACGAGATCCTTCTTCAACTACCCAACAGTATAAGTAATAATATTTTCCTCTAAACTTTATATTTCATCAGTATAGCATTTCCTATGCCATTTTCTCACATTTTTTACTCTTTAAAATATCTTTGTTTATATTTTTATTTTCATTGTAATATGTGTTTTTGTACTTTAAGCAAGCTGAAATATTTGATATTTTCAAAGAAGATAATAGTTTTAAATAAAGCTAAAATTCATTAATGCTAAGTACTGAATAGCCTTTTTCTCTATATTTTAATAATAAACATTTTAAAAATAAATTTTTATTATCTTTATCAACTTAATTTGTTTTATTCCTTTTGCTAATTTTAAAGGTAATTTTGCTAGATATAGTGGGAAGTGATTTTTATTTTGATGTTCCAGGGTGCTGTCCATACCACTCTGTTTTTGGTTTTCACAAGACAGGGTTTCTCTGTATTGTTTTGGAGGCTGTCGGTTCAGCCCAGCCTCGAACTCACAGAGATCCGCCTGCCTCTGCCTCCCGAGTGCTGGGATTAAAGGCGTGAGCCACCATCGCTCGGCTACCACTCTGGTTTTTAAATTCATTGATTACTTGTGGTTAAGTAGTAAGTAATGGTTGTAAGCTGTCATATTTAGTTTTAGTTGTCAACTTAGCACAAACTTAAGAGTCACCTGGGAAGAGGGAACCTCACTGAAGAATTGCCTTGATGAGGTTGATCTAGAGCCTTGTCTCTGGGGCATGTTCTTTATTGCTAATAGATAAAAGTGGGCTCAGCCCACTGTGGATGGTGCCATCAACCTGTGTTGAATTAAAAGTAGCTGAGGGACTAGCTATTAAGAACCTTTACCTGCTTTGTTTCTTAGCATCCACATGGCAGTGCATAACCCTCTGTAACTCCAGTTCCAGGGGGATCCAAGGCCCTCTCCTGACCTCTCTGGGCACCAGGCACACACATGGTGCACAGAAATGCATGCAGGAAAAACATTCAGGTACATAAAAACAGACTTTTGAAAAAGTAGCTAAACATGAGCCTGCAAACAAGACAGTGAGCATCATTTCTCCTTGATCTATACTTCATTTCCTACTTGATTTTTAGATCCTTCCTTGACTTGTCTTAGTGATACAGTTTGACCTGAAAGTATAATCCAAATAAACACTTTTACCCGAGTTTCTCTCAAAGTGTGTCACAGCAACAGAAACAACTAGAACATATGTGAAGTATGTTTTCTGTGGAGTGAAAAAGATCTTCTGTGGTTTTGTTGTTGTTTGTTTGTTTGTTTGAGGTAGACTCTCACTGTATAGCCCTGGGTATCCTTGACTGGCTTGTTACTGGCTGTGTAGACCATGTGGAGCTCAGACTCAGATCTGCCTGCCTCTGTCTTGGTAGGGATTAAAGATGTGTGCCATCACACTGACTACTTCAGCAGCATTAATACATAAATTGAGTTGGTTGTATTATGGAAATATTCAGTAGCCTTCCTAAGAGGGCATTAATTGATCTACAGAAACCATAAATCCCCCACTGTAACTGGTTTTGCCAATTTTTCTTGGATTTAAAGTTTCTTTTGTTGTGTTGGTAATAACAGCCTAGTGAAAATGTCTCTAATTTTATGTATTTTATATATGCGTACATGTTCATATATGTGCAGGTGTTTTTTCATATGTATGCATGCATATAGAGGCCAA